ATTTAAATCCTTCTTTTCATATTCTTGGTTGGTACCATACGTATGATTTGTGTTCTATCGTGGAGAACACCCAGCGAAAGAGAACACAGTTTTTTTAAGACAACGAAAATTCCCCCAGGAAAGTGTTCAAGTTACCACTCACGTTAACATGTGTTAATATTTAAGACACACAAGTAAAAAGCATTTCCTGTTACGAAATTCTTTTTAGGTAGACGGAAACACATGCAATGACAAAAATTAATCCTGACCTGGATTTAAACTTGAGCATGATCAACCACCTAGAAAACACGGTCTTTTATTAAAAACTTAGCAAACACATTACTCACACAGACCAAACCTCTGCTTCACGGGCACAAAATATGACCTCAAAAAAAAGAAAATCAATGAAAGTATGATACATTTATTTATTTCTCGTGGTTACAGCCATAGATATGAGTAAGACTAGATTGGAAGTCACGTGATTTTAGGCATGCGCAAGCGGCCGCTATTGCTGTGTGTTGAAATTTCAAAACCCGCCAGTCGAACTGACAATTGCAAGGCAATCTCACATCACAACTTATGGTCGTTTTCCATCAAAACTAGACGTTTGGATAATTTTGCTAATTGATTTTAATAAATTTGTCAAGCCAAGATGATCTAAACCTAAAATGGTGTATTTAAGTGTTTTACACTCACAAACAAGAAACCTATCATTCTATAGGTATTTGAAGAACTTGTAGCATTTCGCCACAATTTAGTTCTTCGTATTGTTAGCCGACACTGAGCAGCTGTTACATGATTAAATAGAGTTGTTTCAATATTTGTTTAACAAGAAGTAAAAGCTTGGAATGGTCTATTCTTTCATTGGGGGTGTGTCTGTGAGCCACAAAAATCTAAACCTGATTTTAACTTAAAAATTAGTGCAAAATTCCATCAGAAAACACACACATATATATCTGACCTGTCATATGAAGAATGCGTTGGATTTTAGTCCGGAGGGAAATCTTAAGATTAAAAATGTTCTTTTTTTCTCGATGTTTATTATGTGTTACAGAAAAATATACATCTCAAATATTGTTGCCAATGAACAAGAGGTGGCGCTTCATGATCTGGTGAGGGAGGAGGGGGAGAAGAATGTTATTTATGTATCTGCACCTATAAACATTCAACGTTCATTAATTGATCTGGATGGAAATAATTACGAAAATTTATGATATAAATATAATAAAATTAATTTGGATTTATTTGATAATTTGTGGTAAAAATTGATGCAAATGCTTAGAGAAAAAAATATATATATACAGCATTAAGTCCAAAAGAAGTAACACAAATCATTACACCTATTTAATCAATGACGCATTACATATTGTTATATATCTGCTTGTTTGTTTGTTTCCTAGTAGAAATTTTTTCTGAGGATCTTCAGCGATACAAGTCCTTTCTTGATTAAACC